TCTTATTAATTTCTTCTCATATGGAAGCCGTTCCATACCCCTAATCATTTTTGTTGCCTTTTTCTAACCCTTTTCCAATTCTAATGTATCTTTTTTGAGATGGGGCAACCAGATCTGCACGTAGTATTCAAGATGTGGGCATACCATGGATTTATACCATTCATCCTTCACAGTCCACCAGCACCACAATTTGCCTTGATGCCTTAAAATGTCATGCCTCTTAAGTGTCAGCACTGTTCTGCTCAGCATTGGCTCTTTAATATGTTGGGGGCCTAAAGTTGGTGGTACCGAGCTCTGGCTCACCAAACAAGGCGCAGTGTTCTGCTTAACATTTGAAGGGCAATATTTATACCCAGGGGATGGAGCAAAATATCCAGATGTCCTGTAAGGTGGTGAGGGGAAGATAGCAGGGTGCAAAGAAAGCTATTTAGAGTTAGCCTAGAACTGGAGAGTCACAGGAGACAAACTTCTAGGCAAGCAGCATTCAGGGAATCTCTTTGTGCTGCCCCCAGCGCCAGCTCCGCAGCTCCCATTGGCTGGGAGCTGCAGGGGCAGCACCTACAGGCATGTGCAATGTGCACTGCGCAGAGCGGCCTGGCCCCTCCGCCTAGGTGCTGGACATGCCGGCCACCTCGGGGAGCAGAGCACAGAGCCAGGGCAGGCAGGGATCCTGCCTTAGCTCCGCTGCGCTGCTGACCAGGAGCTGCCCGAGATAAGCGCCTCTGGGCTGGAGCCTGCACCCTACCCCAGCCCGGAGCCCCCTCCTGCACCCAAACTCCCTCCCAGACCCTGCACCCCCTGTCCCAGCCCGGAGCCCCCTCCTGCACCCAAACTCCCACCCAGAGCCTGCACCCTGAACCTCCTGCCCGCACCCCAACCTCCTGTCCCACCCCCAGCTAGAGCTGCACCCCAATCCCCTTCCCCAGCCCTGAGCCCCCTCCCATACTCCAACCCCCCAAGCGCCCCACAAAATCTAATAGCCCCGGGCCCACAGGAGAGTTAATCTGGCCCTGTTGGCATCAACTATAGCGATAATTGATTTCCTTTTAGGAAGATGCATATATCAGAAGTCTGTGGATACTAGTGCAAAACTTGTGGCTGAAAGGCCATGCTTTGCTCGCCGAAGAGAAGGCCGTGCTTAATGTGGGTTTGTTTAAGGGTTGTTAAGCTTTTGATTTAATATATTACAACTTTGTAACTTTTCCTTCTTTAGTTATGTGACATTCTGGCTAACGAAAAAGACACAATCCGAAAGGAATATTGGAAGTATATTGGAAGGTCCCTTCGGAACAAGCATAGCACAGGCACTGAACCAGACTTGCCGACAGATCAGCAGCAATAACTGCAAGTGGCAGAAGATGGTGTTCAAGCTCTAAGTATCTTATAAATGGACTCCAAGTAGTGGGGGGACAAGCCAGTATAAACTTAGATGTACTGTTCCCCTCTGCCTGAGTGTGATGTAACTATATGTGCACTGCACAGGTGTTGCTTTTAACAGGAACTGAGTGCGAAGTGTTCAGTGTAACACAATCCCCTTTGGTTACCGCTGCTGCTGACAATAGCTATAGGTAGATCAAGTAATTAAGTCTAAAATTCATTTTAGAAGTATGCCAAATAAAGGACTTATTTCTTAATAGGAAATACATAAATGCTCGGTTTGCTATTTTTAAGGCACTGAATAAATTTCTCACACTCTAGCCTAATCCACTCCACGCCCTCCCCCCTTCCTAATGCAGAAAAGATTCATTGCAGATAACTTGTATGTAATGGTTATAAAGCAACTTAATTTTAGTTGCTTTAAGCGGGGAATGCAATTGTTGCCATAGGCCAGAACAGCTCTGCAGCAGCAACACAATTGTGCTATTATTGTACCCAACTAATGCCAACAACCTGGTTTTGTAATAAAAGTGTAGAGATATTTCAAGTACTCGTATGTGTTTTAGAATGTTTCTCTCTTCTATACACAATGTCTTGTAGCACCAAG